CGGCGGAAAGGGTGGCTGGAGGAGAGAGATCGAGCGGCTGGAAGTTCCAGTCAATTCCGGCCACGTTTCTGCATTTTTCGGCGAGTCCCGAGGGTTTCCGGGGCTGTGCTGGCCAGGGAAGAGAGAGGGAGAGGCTACGGTTCGAACGGGACCGGTCTCGTCGGACGGGGTGGTCGGAGGTGGCGGCTGTGTGGTGGTTTCCGTTCGAATGAACAGTGACGGGGGAGGGGGAGAATCGCAAGGAAGGGGAAGACGCGGGAGGAAGAGAGAGAAAGTGAGGGGTAAATGTGAAAATCTGATTTTACCCCAAACTTACTTCGAAATAATTACGGTTCTGCCACCGAACAAGTTTTGATCGCCAAAACTTCGTTAAATCTCCGATTCAGGCCTACCGCCTGTCTACGGTTTCGTCTCAGTACCACCTACGCAGCCACACCACTCACGGTCCCAAAATCTTCCCGGATAAGAAAGTGACCAAAATCACCCTTAACCCAGGAGTAATTTAATATTTTCCCTTAATTAAATTAAATTAGGAAAATAAACGGAGTCGGGGTGTTACAACAATTCTAACTGGCTTCTGCTCGTAAGATAGATCTTTTCGAATGCTCAAATCTTTCCAATCCAAAACATGTGAAAGATCTGGTTCAATGCAGATATATGAAATACATCATGGATACAAGAGAGTTCAGGTGGAAAAGCTAGTCTATAAGAAAGCTCACCAACTAGTTCCAAAACTTCAAAAGGACCAATAAGACGTGGAGCAAGTTTTTTGCCTTTGTCAAACCTTTTGAGTCCACTACGAGGTCTAATCATAAGGAATACATGGTCTCCAAACCTGTAGTTTGGATGATCTCCCTTGATTAGCACGGCTTTTGGAACGACTTTGGGGAGTCGAAAGGCCTTGTGTGAGAGGTTTCACTGCTTTGGCGGTCTCCCTAACCAAATCAGAACCCAAAAGTGACGAAAACTTCAGTAGCTCATACCGCAAGAATTAACATGGCCTTAAATATAAAGGCTACCAAATGCAAAATGGTGAGGTTGTATTTGTTTCTCTAATCAGTGGGACGCAACAATATGAAGATATACACGTTGGATTGATGCATCAAACAAAATGTATGTTTGCAAATATACATAATCCACCAGAATAACAAAATGCAGAATATACAAGTTTGAATGGATTCATCAAGCTGAATGGTCTTTTATCCTAAAAAAAAAAAACTAAAAGTGCAGGATCTGTGTGATAGAAATAGTAACCTAAACTACGACAAGCAAATGTATACGATGCTTCAGGAAAATACCTCTAGCTTTCTGCACAATAGTAAAGTTGCTTACTGCATCCATTCAAGTCCAGAAAGATATGCAAGCTATACAATGGTTTGAATGGATGCAGTAAGCAAGATATATAATTCTAGGTAACAGATCAGACACTAAAACAAAGACTACAAATTTCACCATCACTAAATAACTTGAACAAGTCGAAGTGCAGAACCAATGCAGCAGAAGTTAATCACTTACAGCAAGACAAGCAAAATGACTCTCCAGACTCCACATACATTACAGTTTATAGCATCCAGAATTGTCCTCCATATTTTTCAAATAAGGGTTTTTTTTTTCCGTTTTAAAAGTTAATTACACAGAGAACAATTGACTTCCCAAATAGAAGTTACAATATAAAGTAATAACAATTCATCTATACGTTGAAGCGGACATATACTCACCCAGATTTTGAAGATGGTGTTTCTGTTTTATCAGTTAGACCGAGTGAAGACAATGGTTTTGAAAGGAACTCCACAGGATCAGCTTCAAGGCAACTACTCAGATCCACTGGCCATCTTATGGGAACAAAAGTGCCCCTAGAGTTGAGAGATAATGGATATGATTTAAGCAAAGTCCATAAATAATTTTCAGTCGTAAAAATTTGTTGGAATGAAAGTTGGAAGGGCACATATGTATACACAAGAAATAACTTTGGAAAAGCATACACACCTTTCTATGCATTTATGCTTGCAGCGATTCATCTTATCCACCGTATAACTCCCAATAATGATATCAAGACGCTTTGCTAGTTTAGGTATATCAGAACGTGTCACAATATCCCAAACCTTCATAACCTGGACATATTCCGAATTCTGCTGGAGAATGTCTACAGTCCAAATGAGATTCAGCAGCCTATTGACTTTATACTTCTCTAACAGTTGAGCACAAGTCCCATCATGCACTATAATTCCTTTATCCTTCTGTGCTCGACGCCATCCACTTGAAAGCTTTGTTAATAGATTAAACACTTCCCGACATATAACAGTGTCTTTAATCATTGCTAAGGACTTCTGAAATTCACGAGTGAAGCAAACCTATATGGCAAAAGAAGACAGAATCATGCTGATAATGATATGCGAAGCAAAGATTGACAAACAATATTGTAACAACCAAACACCATCTTGAATTTTAATGTGTAAAATTAGAGTGAATTCTCTGTAGAGAGGTATTTCCCATTGAGTTCTACATGTTTAATTTACAAATGTTCCCCCTCCGTAGAAATTTACAGAAAATTGGATATTAAAATTCTACACTGAAGTAAGATCCGGCCACTCAATAGGCTTTGATAATGTTAGCTGTAACAAAAAAACTGTTTTAGACTTTGACATTTTTCAGTATAGAACAGAAATACATTAGAATTGAATGGACAAGTAGCAGCATATACCTTCCATCTTGCATTTTTGAACAGAAAAGAGTCAATATTAAGTAAAGAATGAAGTTGGCCAAGCTCCAGGAGGGCAACTGCAATAGCCTGAGACAAGTTATTGTCCTCATCAGCATTATGAAAGCATTCCCGTCTCTCGGCATCAAGGACTAGCTTTTTCCAAATAGAGTCACTGTTAACCAAAGTCGATCCATTCCCCAAAATCCAAAGACAATACCTACACAGACACAATCAAAACTACTAAATTCAGAACCACCAGTAACTCAGACATGTCCTAGCTGCATCATGTATAACCGTAATGTAATTATACAAAAGTGCTACCTTGCACGTGTGAGCGCCACATTTGCTCTTTGACGGTTAGACAAGAAACCAATTGATCCATTCCCATTACATCTTACAGTGGAGATAATTATTACATCCTCTTCACCACCTTGGAAACCATCAACAGATCGCACACTTACAGAGAAGCCTGCATCAGAATCCTTACTGTAATTTTTGACTCTCTCTTGAATCGCATGAACTTGAGCCTTGTATGGTGATATGACCCCAACACTGACCTTCTTCCTTTTGCCAATGAAATCTGTTTCCCAGAAAGAAAATTTCAGAAAACTTGGTTTGTGTTTGTAAATGTATCTAAACCTCCTAATATATTCTTAAAATAATTAGTGCATCGACGATCTTAGATAGCAATAGAATAGAACTACCTTTGTAAAGGCTTGCAACTATCTCAGAGACCGCAGCAACCTCCACCATATTTTTTCTACTATGACCATGATCAAATTCATCTTTTCCATTGGCTACATTTATAAAGGAGTAGGATTGGTACATTTTTCCCTCAAGGAAGCACCTCTCATAGCTTCTTTCATTGACATTTGGACCATCTAATATCTGATTGTCGTAAAACTCCCTATTTGGAAATAAGCTGATGGATGGATGCATCCTATATTGGATATTTAGAAGATGCTTCGCGTGGCCCAACCCTGCCAGCCTTTCGAACAAACTTCTTCCAAATTCAGCCTTTGCGGAAACCTAATAATATGATCCAATTCATTAAAACGTTACAACAATATAAACAGTTCTGGTAGTTTGAGAAAAAGTAAAGAACGCAGAGGATAAAACTAAAACCTTGCTTTTAACCATAGCAGGGAGTTGCCTCTCATCTCCTATGAGAATAGCATGGCGGATACCAGACTGTTGTAAGGGAATTGCTGATTCACATTCTTTAAGCTGGGCAGCTTCATCAATGACTAACAATTCGAGTGGTTTCACTGCTGCTGCGTTGTCCAATTTGGCAGAAGTTGATGCAGTACAAAATATTAAGCAAGCATTTTGCAGGCAGAAATGTTTTATTAAAAATTTATTAATGGAATTGGAATTCAGACCAGAAAATTCCTGAGGAAGCAACTTCAGTTTACAAACACACTTTTTTCCCAACTGTGTAAACCAACCACTAAAGCTTCCTGGACCTTTGAAATCGTTTAGGAGTAACTTTGAACCTTTGTTAGGGACGCCAATGCTATGCAATGAAGATTTAAGAGACTTAAGTAAACTCAAAGCTGCAACCATATCCTTCACCACCTCAAGTGAAATGCAAGAAGTTGGTAAGTGAGTGTAAAAGTTTACCATACAAAACTTCATATCATCACCGACTGAATCAAATTTTTTCCTCACGAACTCCTCAAATGTCAAAGGATTATCCTCGCTTACACTTTCTGCATTTCCATTAGCACCCTTCTCATTTTCTTGAGCATTCTCTTTATGCTTTTCCACTTCCTTTTCCAAGTATAAAGAGTACTGTTTATCTGGATCCTCGAGTAGACATATCATTGATTCTAACAAATGCTTCCATCCGGATAAAGGGACCAAACACTTGTACAGAGTTTTAACACGATGATCAAGAAATACATCAAGAAGGTTAGCATTACCATCGACCTTCATTCGCTTCTTGTTCCCAAAGAGAATTATATCTCCAAGTCCATACTTACCATACTCAAGTGAATGATTAACCAATCTCCGGAGCCGTGCTGCCACTTCTAAAACCGCAATATTGGTGGGAGCACATGTTAGTGTTCTGCACTTCAACTTAAACAGAGCAAAGAGTGATAGACTGACGGTCTTTGTTTTCCCAGTACCAGGAGGACCCCATATTAATTTGACAGCATTCTGGTGTTGGCATTTGCTCAAACTAATAAAGTTTAAAATTGCAGCTTCTTGGGACTCATTTAGACTATGAGAGCTAATTGTGGGCCATATAGTAGAAAGGTCAGGAGAGCATTTTTCTTTGGGAAAACAAACTGTGCAAGAACTCCCATCCTGTAAGAAACAAACATAATAAAGTTTACTAAGAACTGTGAAATGTACAAACAAATGGACTGCTAAGGAGAAGAATATGAGTCCAGATACATACATCTGAATTGGGTTGCAGAACTTTCTCAATGATATTTGTGTTTCCCCCTTCTGAGTTCAAGGCAGTCCATACACGAATGTTTGTTGTCATGTTCATCAGATAGACAGCAAAAAGTGTTTCTCTCTTGCTCTGTTGTGTGTCTTGCTCTCCGAAACCTATAGGCTTCGACGAGCGTATTTTGAATTCAAAATCATCAGGAAACTCTTCAAGATCAGTCACTCTATCAACATAAGCAATAAGATAGAACCTTTGGGGCCTATTCAGATCGTCAATGCATTTTGGTTTGACATTAGTCAAGGCAATGAGATCTCCAACCTGTGGCTCATACATTGGCCCTTTGTGATTCTTATCAACTTCTGCATCTTTCTTATATGTTATATCATAAAACAAAGCTTTGGGAGGTTTATGATCTCTAGAATATTCAACTGTCAGTATCTCACAAGTAGGTGCGTGCGACAGAGTCATCATGTTTGAGAGTAAATCAGCATGAGTTTCCTCAATGAGTGAAGGAATGAATGATTTCTTGTAGCTCGTCACAGTCGCGAATGTCTTGGGAATCTTGGGAACCTAATGCATGCCATGCCAGCATCATCAAATATATAACTTGTGCTGAAAAACCAATAGTATGTATAAGGAGGAAAAGAGACAAACCTGGTTTTTGTAAAGATGGTTGTTGAGAACATCCCTGAGAGACCAAGAGAATACCAGATCGATCAAGCTACTTCTATCTGTAACTTCTTTCTTGTTGGTGGTCGTGCTAGTCTTCTCCATTGCTTCCTTACTCTTGCTCAATTTCTTCAGTGTAGTAGTATATCATAAATTTCATTTCATGCTTAATTCAATTACTTGGCAGTGAAGGAAGCATCTGCGCTATTTCATTCCCTTTGGCTTTGCAAAAAAGAGAGCATTATGGTTAAGAAAGCAAGTCTCTGTCTATTCAAATTCCTTTGTTTTCAGAAAATAAATAAATAAACTCAGTGTTAATTGAGAAGGACATAACAGGAAGATGAAGAGACCTAAAGTGAATTACTTTTGCGACCTCTCAAATTAGTATTTTTTATTATTTTTATTTTATTTTTTTGGGTAAAAATAACCTTTTACTTCACAGTTGCATATTAAGGAGGGAAAAAAAAAGTGAGACAGCTTAGGGAAGAGCAACAGACACTCTGCCTCTCTATTTCAAGTGTTCTCTTTTTTATGTTTGCTGGACTTTTCAGCATTTTCAATTAGAAAAATCAATGAGAAGTCGAAAATTTTGTGAATTTGGAAAGTTTTGAGACTTTCTTAGAACTTTCGCGCCAATTAGAAGCTTGATTTCCACTACAACTTAAGGAAGGTATGAGATTTTTTATATGCATTTTTTTTTTGGTTGGAAAATATATTTATTGAGAAATATCATAAGAGTTACATGTACAATGGATAATCAAAGAATAGTCAATCCACAACCCAAACGTAACGATAAGAAACAAGAGTAGAATCTTTGTTAAAAACAAAACTACAGAAACATATGCAATAGTAGCAAGCAACCTGCTTCTCAGCAACATCGACGTAGATCTGAGACTAAAAAACAAAATAAATATAAGTACAGAAAAAAGAGGAAGAACAGAGGGCAATTGGGCTAAAGCCAATATCAAAGCTCATTACACAATTAATCAAATTAAACAAGCCTAATAATCTCACTCCTTTTTGGTCCATTACACTCGCTTTGTTGGAAATTGTATGTTCCCACTCCTCTTTTGTCTACTTACACTCTTTTTTATGTTATAATAAAAAGTATTAAAAAAAAAAAGTGTAAGTGGACAAAAGGAGAGTGGAAAAATCAGCACCCATGAAAAAAGATAGAAACAACAAGAACAAGAGAAACATAGAAAGAGGAAAGAGAGAAGGAAAAAGGAGAGAACCGTACCAACAAAAAAAAGGAAAAAGGAGAGAAAAGAAAAGAGAGAGGAAAAGGAAGTGGAGAGAAAAAAAGAAGGAAAAAGGAAGAGAAGAGAAAAGATAGATGAAAAAAAAACACAAGGAAAAGGAAGAGAAAGATGACGGGAGAAACAGGAAGAAGAAGAGGAGATTAAAAAAGAGAGAGAGAGAGAGAGAGAGAAGAAAAGAGAGAGGAAGAAAGGGATAAGTGACGGGAGAAAGAGGAAGAAGAAGAGGAGAGAAAAAAAGAGGATGGAAAATTGAAGAACACAGGTTGCTCTCATTTGAGGTCTCAAGTTCAGGTTCGACTCTCATGGTAGACCAAAGGTCTCAGGTTCGTACCCTCGCGGCATTGTACGTGAGAAACCCTCTTCACTATAATTTAGACTATTGATTGTATTCAACAAAATTTTTTTAAAAAAAGTTTCAATGAGTCTGACCATAATTGTTTCCTCTTAAAACAGCCTTGAAATTTTGATTCCATCTGCTTCGGTCGCATGGTAATTCTTGATAGATTTTTCGTGAAAATTTAAACGTGCATCAAGTAAAAACATTTCTAACAAAAGCGCTTATGAGCGAAATTGTTTCCTACGAAGCAATTCCAAACAGGTATTTGGTTTTTGATTCCATCCATTGAATTGCAACGTAGCTTAATAGTTCTTGATTATGTTTCTGATACTCCTGAAGTTAAGGATGCTTTTTGAAGAACATCACCATTGAGTTGAAAAACACAGGAATTGCACCGTAGAAAAAATACCAATATCAGCCAATAAAGACCATGAACAAGAGGTAAGCCCTAGAAGACCTGATAAAAGCTGCATGAACCAGAGTCTTGATTTCCATGAACTAAACTCTCCATGTAAACACCATATTACAGAATCCTATATGGTTCTTTGAAGGAGATAAAGCAAGTCCCACTTTTACCTGAGAGAAATTAAAACAATATTGCCAGTTTTCAACGTCCTCAGAGTTAGTCAGCAGATCTCAACTACATGTATGATTTTCTAATGGTTCTAAATTATCAGTACGATACCTTACTCAAAATGTTGTATACTGCAATACGTACAAGATCAGCAGTTCCCAACTACTTCTACTTGGCACTCTTAACTTCCACAAAACATAGCTCAATAGGGCCTAACAAATCGTTCAAACAATCACAACGCCGAGATGAACCTTTGAATCTTTGCCTGTGATCGCTCCATTTCTTCAGGTCCATCCACATCACCAATATTGTCGTGATATTCCTGTGGTCCATGAAGAAAGAAAGAGTACTGTATTAGGGTACTTATAAAATATTCAAATAATTAGCACAAGCTTAATCCACCAAGGGCTTAAAGTCATGCACCAAAAAAGTGTAGATTTCACTTTATCATTTAGAATTATTTCTAAATATAAGTACTTATATTCAGCATATTTAAAGACCTGTTAAGAAATAAGATCTTAGTAATCTGGTTGTAAGAATCCAATTTAAGCTTTGTTCCACTTATATTAAAACGAAGCCTATCCTACATGCTGGCATTACCCTCTACAGTAGCGAAGGTCTGGGTATGAGATATTAAAGAGCAGGGAAGAAAATAAACCCATTTGAACTAAGAAACCATGAGGTGCAACAAATTTGAATTTCCAATTGCAGCACAGTGAAGTTAATGTTGAAAAGGTTTTATTTCCCCCTTTTCTATGTTTGGTAGACATTGAGAAATTATGAATAATTCCAAATCCAACATGTACATGCCCTTGTAAGAATCAAGCCCATCTTTGAAACATTGCTCACAAAAATACAACACATCATTGGGCCAGGTAAGCCAAATACAAAGAAACTTAACATTATAAGAACTAAACAGAAGACCAGGAGGAAAAAGTTGGACAAATGACCAAGTTTATTACACTTCTTCAAAATTTATTTAACATGAGGCTAAACAACCCAACAAGATTATGCGCAATTCCAAGAAAGAAGTAAACATAAGGAAAATGCACAGTAGCTCTCATGCATTTAAGCATAAGCAATTAAACTGAATTTGACCACCAACCACTTTCCCCCAATTTATTGTCAAATGTAGTTTACTAACCTTTCAGACTCTAGATCTTATATCTTTATTGATCAACCACAGCTGAAAGTTTCAGTGATGATCCTATCCATGTTGGAGCTTCTTATGGGATATCTAAAGCCAGCAAATTTCAAATTCTAGGCATGAGCAAATCAATTTATGAACGACTTTCAAACTATCAATTTGGTGTACTCAAAACACCCCTGATTCTGTTAAAATTCAATCTTTATACAAGGCTACTACCTGTTAATTGCTTCTCAAAACAAATTACTTTACAAGCATTCCAAGAGACCCCTATTATGCTCAAAATTTTAAAGAAAGCACCAAAAGCTTGCAGAAAATGCTAATATCTAGGGCACCCACAATCAAATTTTAAAGTATTGTACCCTCTGATACTACACATCTGAGATACAGACGATTGAAAGAATAATTTTTTTAACATGTCAATTAACCGAACTACAATTTCTATTAGAAATTTTGAAGTTCTAGCAGACACCAAGCTTATGTACCTGAAGTATATCCTTAACATCCTTCTTAGTCAGTTTTTGCTGCTTGAGCAGTAGTTCAATTCTTGCTCTCATTTGAGGGTGCCTGCAAAAGAAATAACAGGCTCAAATATAATACAGCTCTTCTATGAAACTGTAAGCAAGAATATATAAATGTGATGTCGAAACTTACTCAGAACACCAAAGATGCCCCAGAATGACAGCAATCAACTGCAGCATGTGAATAAAGAGGTCAAGATCCAAAAGGATAATGAATTTTAAAATAATCAAGCTATAGTATATCTGACAACTACACATGTAATGGGTGAAGGTTGGAACTTGGAAACAATTATGGCCATGTTTAGCATGCAAGATATAGCTGACTGGATTTAAAAGGATTTAACTATTTTCATTTTGATGCATTGTAAGACATAAGCTCTACCTTAACTCTGTCTAAACACATGGTGGAGTCAACAGTTTAATCAGATTGGACAGAAATGAATTATGTTTACATAATTATTCGCTAAAAAATATGACATTGACAGCAGCCTTAGTAGTAGTGGCAATAGTAGCAGTGATGATGATTATGTGGTTCCGTAATACTCATTAAAACCTTTGTGCCTCCTGGAGAACAGTTACTCTTTTATATGATTGCAAGGACTAACCAAAAAATTGGGGTACTAACACCAATAAACGCCACTTATTTTCCCTAATGCAAGACACTTGTTTATAATGCCTTTATATAAAAATTATGTTCTATTTATTGATGGGAAAAGTGCAAAAATTTGACTACATGTTTCCAAGAAAAATAGATGTGATTGTAACTGTTTTAACATCTTAACAGTTACTAAATTTGAATCAAATTGCAAATAAAATTATTAGCTTCACCTCAAACAGATTCAATGAATCGAAATTGCTTAGTTTTTCAGCTCCAATATAATTAAAAACTCAGATATAATTGGATGAACCAAACTGTTTTACAACCTTTTTCACTGCGTGGAGTTTTATAACCTTTGTTGTTTATTCATGTTTCTCCTAATAGTTCTGTTTTACACCTTTACTGGATTTGTATCACCTGTTTAGAAAACATTTTATTCAATTCTTCTAATTCCTTGGGTTGAATGGGATAAACATTGGTAGCACTAATTCTATTCCACATCAAAACAAAAAAGAAATTTGAATTAAATGATACGTTTTAACCCTTCTCCAAGCTACATGATCCACCTCAGTCCTGTATAACTTTATAGCAAACCCACATAGAAAGCACACTAAAAATTGCAATATTGCATCCAAAATAAAACCAAACCTGAAGAGTATAAAGTCC